AGAGAGAGAGAGAGAGAAAACAAGATAATTTTAGCACTTGCTCTTTACAAAGAAAAGCTTTATTGGCCACTGGAGACGCAAGGGGAAGCAGGGTCTTGCCTACAGTCTTGGTGGGGAGATGACCTTAAATAATCACACAAAGAGGGCATTTAAAGCAATACCATGATACACGGAGAAAAGATTGAAGTTGTTAAGGATATCATTTTACTTGGATCTAAATCAAGTAACATACCGCAGTAGGCACATCTGCTACAAAAGATCTCTGTAAAGTATTAAAGAGCAAAGATTTGAGGACTAGTGTGTGCCTGGCCCAAGCCATGGTGTTTTTAATTGCCTCATATGCATGTGAAAGCTACACAGTGAATAAGGAAGAAGAATTGATTCCTTTGAATTATGGTGTTTGGGAAGAATATTGAAAGTACCATGGACTGCCAGAAGAAAAAACAAATTGATGTTTGAAGAAGTAGAGCCAGAGTGTTCCTTAGAAATTAGGGTGGTAAGACTTTCTCATGTACTTTGAACACATTGTCAGGGACCAGTCCTGGGAAAAAGACAGGCTTGTAAAAGTAGATGGTCAGCAAACCAAGAGGAAGACCCTCAGTGAGATCGAGTGACACCGTTGCTGTAAAAATGGGCTCAAGCATCGGAATGATTGTGAGGATGGTGCAAGAATGGGCAGTGTTTTGATCTGTGTTACATAGTGTCGCTATGAGTTGGAACTGACTGGCTGGCACCTAACTACAAGTGTTATGAAATAAAGGTTTCAGGTACTGTGACTCTGACAGCACAGAATTAGGGACACAAGCCAAGGGGGGAATTTTAGAAAAAACTTCCTGGAGGAAGTGACATCTGAACTAATAGCTGAAAGATGAGGAAATGCTAACGAGGCAAACCAGATCCAGAGCGTTCCAGACACAGATATTAGAATGTGCAAAGGCCCTGAAGTGGGAAGGAGTGTGATTCATTGGCAGACCTCATGGGTTAAATGGTGCAAGGTGAAGTTGAGAGAGACCAGGACCAGATCACGCATACTTTGTGCCAATGAGGCAGGGTACTGCAGGACATTTAAAAAAATAATCCAATGGTGTCGACCCTCCTGTTTGTTGTCCTGGAAGTTCTGTAAAATAAGGTCTATTTCATATGCCAAATGTTTAGCCTTTTGGGATACACTTGAGGGAAGTATTAAAACAGTGTTATGGTAAGCCCTTGAGATACCCCAAAATGACACCCTGGTTCTGTTAACATGGGGACTGTCAGGCAACCAGTAAGTAACAGAGTCAGCACTAGAATCAGGTATGCCTCTTGAAGGTGTCCTGAGATTGAAGAGCAGGAATGGAAGCATCTCTGTGTACACCAAGCACATTGTACATCTAAGGGGTGCTTTGCTCACTTTGTCAGCCCTTCAGTCAGCCTTTCGTTACACATATATTTACTAAACATTGCTTAACTCCAGGTACCATGCTAGGGACAGGGCATTTGAAAAAACGAGTAACACAAGGTGGTCCTTGCCTCAGGTCTTAACCTAAAGCAGATATGTTATGGTTCATTAGCGGTGTCCCAGCAACGTGTTCAGGAACCCCAAAGAGCAAGCCTATGGCTGTCCAGTCCCAAAAATTATTGTCCATAAAATACAGTCCAGGTGACAGCTGATGAGACGATCGAGTCTGAAATCAGGCAATTGGCATCTGGGTCCTGAAGTTAGTTGTATGCACTTGGGTGCCCTTCTTAACTGCTCTAAGTCCATTTCCTTGTACGTAATACCACTGCCACCAACTTTCAGGAAGATTCAGTGGAATACTTCATACCAAATGCGGAGCACATAGGAATCTCATATTAAAAAAGACTAGGTCTTCTGGTGTGGCGCTGTAGGATCAGTATTGGACTTCAAACCACAAGGTCGGTTGTTCAAACCTACCAGCTGCTCCTTGAAAACACTATACAGGGTCACTGAGTTGGAATCAACTTGACAGCATTTAACAACAGTCCTGGGTTATGGGAGCATGGTGGCTCTGTAGAATTAGCAATGGACAGTGAACCACAAGGTTAGCAGTTGGAGCCCATATGAGGCTTTCTGCTCCTGCAAAGATTTATACTTTTGGAAATGCTACACAGGGTCGCTATGAGTCAGAAACGACTTTACAGCACTCAACAGTAGTCCTGGACTGTCAATGCTATCACGTGGCAGATGCTTTCAGACACAGAGAGACCATGCATGGTTGAAAAGAAGATGCTGACAAAGTGTGAAACAGCTTTTGTTGGATGTGGAAAGGGAGCCTGAGGAACAGCTGGTATTGGAACAAACAAACCCCTCATCCTGGCCTTTATTTTGATAATCATTGTTTGCCTATGTTGCTGAGTATTACAAACGAGATAAAACATGCAAAGGGCTGGCAAATAGTAAGATTCAGTAAATATTAGCTAACGTTATTTTTCTATTGTTATTCCAGTAAAGCAACTTTTCAGTGGTTAGAATTAGATAAAGAAATCTTCACTTTTCTGTTCCAAGGGAAGTCCTTATTCCCTCTACTAGGTGGTGGATTTCACACCTATAAACTGACTGAAGGCTGAGGCCCCCAGGAACAAAATACCAACCAAGTGGGAGCATGTATACACTGGCGAGGATTTGGCTTTGTAGAAATTCATTCTTACGACCAATAATTTAAAAAGCAAGCCAGTAGTAATTTTGGACAGTCTCACGCCCCTTCCTGTGGCATCTTCTTGGCACTCTTTGTGTTTGGTCCGGCTCTGCAGTCTGCCTCAGCGACTCCATCGCCCCAGCTGATCGTCCTGCTGCCCTAGCGCCTTAGAGGGGCACAAGAAGGGGACTGCCTCATTGTAAGAACCCTGTGATGTTTTTGTTGTTAAGTGCCCGACTCATAGCGACCCTGTATAGGGTTTCCGAGGAACGACTGGTGAGTTTGAACCGCCAACCTTGCGATTCAGACCGACCGTAGGACACATCAGTTCACACACGACCGATAGAGGACTCGTGCAGGCCACATTTCTGCATGAACCAGACTCGGAGTCACTGCTGGAAGGGTCTGAACTGGGTCCCGCCCCAGCCCGAGAGCCAGGAGGAGGGCGGGGTCTTTTCAGCAGGGCCTGTGCGGTGAAGGTGCGCAGAGGCGAAGGGTTGCAAAGGAATTGGATGGAGCGCTGGGGAACGGTCGACCCCACCTGGAGGGGAGGGCGGGGCAAGAGCGGTGTGCGCGGCGGGGCGGGGCGTCGATGGGCCCACCCCTGACGAGGCGGGGCGGAAAGGGCGGCCGCGCGGGGGCGCTGTGCGGCTGCGGCCTGAGTGCCTAGGCTCGGGCGGCTGCTCGCTGACGCTCAGTCGCTCGGCGCCCGCGGGAACAGAGGCAGTGCTGCGCGGCGACGGCGGCGGCAGCAGTAGCAGCAGGATGAACAGCATCAAGAACGTGCCGGCGCGGGTGCTGAGTCGCAGACCGGGCCACAGCCTGGAGGCGGAGCGCGAGCAGTTCGACAAGACACAGGCGAGCGGCCCCTCACCTCTGCCGGCTCCCCACGCCGCCCCTCGGGCGCGGGCGGAGGTTCGGGGCTCGGGCCCGGGAGGGTGACGGGGGTTTAGGAGCTCCGTTCCGGGCCGGCCTGCAACCTCTTCAGGCGCCGAGCCTGCCGTCCTCCAGCGCCCCCCCGGCCGGCGCGCAGGTGAACCGGAAGCTGCGCTCGGCCGGCGGGTCGGCCCAGGTGCGGCCCGGGAGGCTCTCTGCGGCGGCCGCGCCCTCGCCGGTCCTGGGTAATAAGGCCTCCACCTCCCGGAGCTGTGCGTTTCCTTCAAGGAAGCTCCCGCTTCCTTTTCCCCAGCGCCGGGTGACAAGTTTCTGGGATGCGGCCAGACTAGTTCGCCCGAGCGCTGGCCTACAAGTCAACAGGCTCCCACCCCCTCATTAAACCTGCCAGACAGAAACTTCCCGGGGCCCCCTTCCCGCGCTTCCCACGCCGCTCGGTCTCCCCGGAGGCTGGCCCAGCCTTCCAGGAGAGAGGCTATTATCACCGTGCCCCCCGGAGCCCAGGTTTGTGTGCCGAGCTGAGGACGCGGTGGGGCGCGACTGCGTTTCGGGGTTTCTGTTCCCTTTCATTTTACCCACTCACAGGTGCTCTTCTACCTTGGGGAAAGGCCACATTTGTTGATGTGCCAAAATAATTCAACCAAGACTGAAATGGCCGAAAAATCTTTCCCCGTGCTAAAGGAAGCCAAAGGGAACTCCCCCTCCCCAGCCGTATGGTGACATTTGTGGCTGCCATTAGCCCGGGCTTTTCTGTGCAGAAAGCTCCCGCTTCTGCAGTCGCTTCAAATCAAGTTGGCACATGCAGTCTGCAAGAGCTTTCGTTTTGAAATAAGAAACACGGGGGTAGGGGGAGCTTCTAACCTTTGCACTTGCTGATTGTGCAAAGCGACCATTAAAATCTGGGGATGCCCAGGGTTTATAAAGCTGATAAATGCTGGAACCACCCTGGCCTCAAATTACTAATTTCTCCTGTGGTCATGCTCACAGTCATCTGGTCTCCACCCAGGAGAGCTGATCATAAAAACAAGCCTTTCATGTAAGGTCATTAACATACGTAATAATGTGATTACATTAACATAATTGATATTGTAACAGGAATTTGGGAAAGGGGGGAGGAGAATGTAATTGGTAGAGAGGGCCTGGGTTTTGTCAGAAGCTTTATTTGTTTCCATTTGTAGATTTCCATGCTTTTGAGGAGCTCTGAAGAGTTCTGATAGCCATATAGAGGAGGTGCCATTTAAAGTGCCAAGTTCATTGATCTTGCTCTCGAATTACTGTAAGTCAAGGGCAACCTTTGTGAATGTCAAAGAGAAAGAATCTCGGAGCAAGGACACAATCAGATAGTTGTTTGTTAAACAAGGTTTGTTTTTTTTGTTTAGTTTTTGTTAGTTGGGTTTCTCTTGGGCCTGAAAAAGTTCTTTAATGAAGAACTTTCAGATGGCTGAATCTCATTAGACTTACCCATCTCATGGCCCACTTGTTCTGGAAAGATGGAGTTTGGTGTCAATGTATGGTTTTGCTTGTCTTATTGAGTGTCTTATTGAGGGATATAGGAATGAGCTTTTGTGCATGGTTAATATTTCATTAGATTGCTCCCAAAAATATCCAGGAACTGTTTTGGAAGGATCAGGAGAGCTCAGATTGCTGCTTGCATGGTCTCCCAAGCAGAAAACCGAGTGCCCATCTGCCTCTGTGACTGCCTCCTCTCAACATTGACCCAGTGCTGTCAGGGGACTGAGCTTCCATATTAGTGTTCTTGAAGGGACACACCCTGTTTTTCAAAGATCTCTGAGGTTAACACTTTGATAGACGTTTAGGTAGGGCAGTCAGGCTTCTTTCTGGAAGCTGGTGCTTGTGACTGTTCCATAGTGAAGACAGAATGTGTGTGTGTGTGTGTGTGTGAGAGAGAGAGAGAGAGAGAGAGAGAGAGGAAGAGGAAGAGCGAGCGAGACAATATAACATATGGGGAAGTATCCCAAGAACTGGTCTATTATTTTCTTCCCCATGACTTTAATTCCCTTTGGTGATAATCCCTTTTAAAAGTGGAGGCGACAACTCTTTTTGTCTTTTTTTTGTGGTATTTCCTGTATTCAGAGTGGGAACTTTGCTGTACCTCTTAAAAGGTGATGTGATAGCCCAGAAAGCCCTTTGCAGATAGGTAGACCTGTGTTCCACTTGCATGGCCCTGTGCATGTGCTTAATCCCTGAATCTGATTTCTTTTCTCTGTACAAATACCTCATAAGGCTCTTTTAAGGTCTAGAAATATACCATATGGTCTGCTAAATAATGGTCTCCCCAAACATGTCCTCATGGCCTCATCCCCACAACCTCTGATGATATTACATTACTTTGTAAGGACAATTAAGGTGGGGGGGATCCTGGTGGTGCAGTGTTAAGCACTCAGCTGCTAGCTGAGAGGTCAGCAGTTCAAACCCACCAGCTGCTCTTGAAAAGAAAGATGTGACTGTCTGCTTCCATAAAGAAATCCTACTAGGCAGTTTAGTTCTTTCCCATAGTGTTACTTTGAGTCTTAACTCTTTAGCAACAGGTTTCGTTTAGTTTGGTAAGGAGAATTAAGGTTGTAGGTAGAATCAAGGTGGCTAATCAGCTGACTGAAATAGGGAGAATGTTCTGGATTATCTCTATAGGTCCACTCTAACCACAAGGGTCTGGCTTTAAATGAAGGTGGAGGGAAGGTTCACAAGCTGGGGAATTAGAAAAGCGAAAAGGCGAGGACGAGGGTTCTTCCCATTAGCCTGTAAAATGGAACAGCCCTGACCTTGATTTGAGCCCAGGGAGACCCATTTTGAACTTTGAACCTCCAGAACTGTAAGATGATAGATTTGTGTTTTCTATCAGTACGTTTGTTTAAAATTGAAACTGCGTGTTTAAAATCACTACGTTTGCGTTGATTTGTTGCAGCAGTCATTCCAGAACCAAACCAACCCACTGCCCTCAAGCTGACCCCAGCTCATAGCGACCCTGTCAGACAGAGGAGCGAAACCTTCCCCCAGGCTTTTTTTCCCCTTTTTTGACTTTTTATTGTGAATTGAGTGAAAGTTTACAGAGCAGATTATCAGTTATAGATTCAATAAATCATGTACTTTGCTTCATTACAGTGATTACAGTCCCATCCCTGTACCATTGCTGTTGCTGTGAAGTGCCATTGAGTCAGTTCCGCCCCATAATGACCCTGTATAGGGTTTCTGAGGAGCAGCTGGTGAGCTTGAACTGCCAACCTTGCAGTTCAAACAGCTTTGCTGTCTGGCGCATTAACCCACAGCGCCTTTAAACTTTAACTCTTGCAGTGCCCCCTATGTCTCCTTCTACCTTTGTATTTCTTCTGCCATCCTCCTTCTTGTATATTACCTGTACCATCACCCATGTTAACATGTGTGTGCCCTCTGTGAATAATTCAACCACCCCCCCAATCATCATAGACTTTTTTTGTTTTGAAAAATGCATCTTTATTATATTTTTTTAATGCTTTATTGTGAATTATGTGATAGTTTACATGTGAGGACATCAGCTTCACATTGATCCCATCGTATATCCTTTCCTTGCCATGATTATACAATCCATTCCATGCATCATCCATCAACCAAAAGGTACACCCTGCAAGCCTGCCCCCTGGTCGTCAGCACACAGCCCCTCTCCCTCTCTGGGTTTAAAGTCCCCAGCTGCTCCATCTCTCTACTTCATCGTCTCTTCCTCCATCCCTGGCATCACTGTTTCTCTGGGTAGGGTTCCGTTCTCTGCTCTTCTCCTTTGATGGCCCCAGGGATCTTTGCTCTTAGACTGCAAGGTTAATCACTCCCCTCCCTTTGCCCCCAAACGTCTGTCTACCTTTACATTTCCAGCCCTTACAATCAGTCCTAAGGAGCTCTGGTAGCGTAGTGGTTATGAATTGGGCTGCTAACCTCAAGGTCAGCAGTTTGAAACTACCAGCGGTTCTGCGGGAGAAAGATGAGGTGTTTTGTTACCATAAAGATTTACAGCCTTGGAAACCCTGTTGCAGGGTCACTATGAGTCAGAACCGACTCCACGGTACTTAACAACAACAATCAGTCGCTATAACAATTATTCGCTATTATACCGCAAGAGACCTAACCGCATCTCCTTTCATTAGCCCTGGCTAGGCAAGAATGGATGCTGCTCAATGGAGATTCTACCTTGCTCCACGCCCTCTGGATCTAGGTTCCCTCTTGAAAGTTTGTAAGCCAGTCACTTCTTGCCTCTGTAGCCCCCCTATTCTGGGTAGCCAACGTCCAAGTTGCCCGTCCCTGTCCTCTCGGTGTGCGGAGGAGGTGGGAATGATCCTCGCTGTGAAGATTTGTTCACTTTTTTGAGCTACTGCTTCCATAGGTGTAGGTCAAGTTCATCAAATTGTATCAGATTACGCTTTTTCCCTTCTTCTTTCTTCTTCTGTTTGAGCTCTGATCATCCAGCCATTGAAGCCAGGTCAGGTGGGTATGATCTGCATGTGTGGGTGTTCTTATGCATATGCCCTCTCTTCTTATCAGCTGGACGCTTCACTCTCCACTCTAGTCCTCTGTGGCTATGTTGCTGACTCTGGGTCCAAGAGTCCCCTGAACTTGGCACACTGCTGATCAACCAAGTCTCCACCTGGGTTCACAGGAGTCTATTGAGCGTTATAAGGCTTAGCTCACAGCTTCCTTGATGTTTTTACCTCACTTCCCCTTATTGGTGATGAATGTGGTCACCAATCAGAGCATGCATTCCCATTGAGCCTTAGTCTTAGAAGGGGGTTTTCCCTGAGGGGGACCCAACCACATGTCTTGATACCTCCTGGGCGAGCCACTTATTTGTTCTTGTAGTAATAGTTGACCTGCCTATATTGTTTTGTATTTTTCCTGTCAGTCTTTCTTTCACATAGACTGTTTGTTTTATGAGGAAAACCTCTTAACTTTTTACAACAGTGGTCTCATACAATATTTGTCCT